CCCACATTTACTCAGTACCTGTGATGTTTCAGGCATCGTGCTGCCCTGGGTACAGAAAGCACTGACAGGACAGTGTTGGGAAGACAGCCTAAACAGTCAGCCCACACATGGAATTCTACCACACTTTCAGTGATTTTTTAAAAGGCATAAATGAAGGAAAAGAGGAACAAAAAACCAAAAGGAGACAGAAGAGAAAATAAATATTAAAATAGTAGACCTCAGCCAGGCCTGGTGGCTCATGCCTGTAACCCCTGTACTTTGGGAGGCCCAGGAGTTTAAGATCAGTCTTGGCAACATAGAGACACTGTCTCTTCAAAAATATAAAAAAATAAGCTGGGCATGGTGGTGCGCACCTATATTCCCACCTATTCAGGAGGCTGAGGCGGAAGGGTTGCCAGGAGGTTGAGGCTGTGGTGAGCCATGATGTGTCGCTGCATTCCGGCCTGGGCAACAGAATGAGATACTCACATGGTCGATCTCAATAGAACTATATTAATAAATACACTGTTAGTGGACTCAACATCCGGATTAAAAGCAGAAACTGTCAGAATACATATTGGGGAAGAAGACTCAACTAACACTGTCCACTTTTAAAGTTTAAAAAATATATATATAGAGAGAGAGAGATATGCTATACAAAATGTAAAATAAGGCTAAGGTAGTTTTGTTAATATCTGACAAAGTGGATTTCAAGACAGTATCAGAGATTAAAGAAGATAGCTTATGATTATAGTGTCAATCAGAAATTGAGAATAATTATAAATGTGTATACATCTAATAACAAAGCTTCAGAATGCATTTTAAAAATAATTACAGAATAGCCGGGCAGGGTGGCTCACGCGTGTAATCCTAGCCCTTTGGGAGGCCGAGGTGAGTGAATTGCCTGAGCTCATGGGTTTGAGAACAGCCCAGGCAACTTGGCAAGACCTCATCTCTACAATAAATCAAAAAATTAGCCAGATGAGGTAGCTCTGGCCTATGGTTCCAGCTACTTGGAAGGCTGAAGTGGAAGGATCGCCTGAGCCCAACAGGTCGATGCTGGGGTGGCCGTGAGCATACCACCGCACTCCAGCCCAGGTGACAGAGTGAGACCCCAACTCAAAAAAAAAATTAGCCAGGCATGGTGGCATGTGCCTGTGGTTCCAGCTACTTGGAAGGCTGAGGAGGAAGGACTGCCTGAGCCCAGCAGACGAGGCTGCAGAGGCTGTAAGTGTGCCAGTGCATTCCAGCCTGGACAACAGTGAGACTCTGACTCAAAAAAAAAAAAAGAAAATTTACAGTATTAACTGGAGATGTAGACAATTTCACAGTAATAATGGTGGATTTGATATCTCTCAGCAGTTGATAAAATAATAAGAAATCAGTAATGATGGAGACGAGTGGTTCTCAGAGTATAAACCAGGGATCCCTAGAGGATTCTTAAAACCCTAATAGAGGACCCATAAAATCAAAACAATGTTTATAATTTCCTAAGACCTTTTTTGCTTTTTTACTCGTAATATCATACAAGTATACAGTAGAGTTTTCCAGAAGCTATAAGAAGTGTGATGTTGCAACCAATTGAAAGCAAGATCCAGCTCTTGATTAAGTAAGCCTAACATTAAAGAGATTTACAGGCCCAGGCACAGTGGCTCAAGCCTGTAATCTCAGCACTTTGGGAGGTTGAGGTGAGAGGTCTGCCTGAGTCCAGGAGTTCGAGACCAGCCTGGGCAACTTGCCGAGCCCTCATCTCTCTTTTTTTTTTTTAGTTGGAGTCTTACTCTGTCGCCCAGACTGGAGTGCAGTGGCCACTCCCGGCCACTGCAGCCTCGACCTGCTGGGCTCCGGCGATCCTTCTGCCTCAGCCTTCCAAGTACTGCTGGAACTACAGGCGGGCGCTACCACGCCCCGCTGATTTTTTGATTTATTGTAGAGACAAGGTCTCGCCAAGTTGCCCAGGCGGGTCTCGAACCCGTGGCAAGCCCTCATCTCTACAATAAATCAAAAAATGAGCCAGGCATGGTGGTGCATGCCTGTAGTTCCAGCTATTTGGAAGGCTGAGGCGGAAGGATCATCTGAGCCCAGCACATTGAGGCTGTGGTAGCCATGAGCATTCCACTACATTTCCAGCCTGGATGGCAGAGTGAGACTACAACTAAAAAAAAAAAAAAAAAAAAAGAAATTTACAAATATGTAAAGCTCCATCACTCTACTCACTAAATTTTGTTTTGAAAAACATAGATGTTGTATTTGTCTTGAACCCGCGGGTTCAGGCAATCCACTCACCTCAGCCTCCCAAAGGCACGGGATTATTACTGACATTTTAAAAATAACTGTAAAACATATATTTAAGTGTACAAGATGCATTCATCAAGATAGTGTATATGCCAGGCCATAAACAAGTCTCAGTAAATTTACAAAAACTGAGATCATATAGAGCATGTTCTCTGATCACAATGGAGTTCAATAACAATATTGAAACCAATAAAAATAGGGCATCTAAAAAAATCAAATAATTGGAAATTAACACACTTCTAAATAACATATGGGTAAAAGAATCACAAGAAAAGTTAGAAACATTTTGAGGTCAATGACAATAAATACACAGCATATTCAAAGTCATGGAATGCAGCTAATAGAGTGCTTAGAGGGAAATTAGCCTTAAATAGATGTGTTAGAAAAGAAGAAAGGTCTAGATTCAAAGACCTCTCCAATTTAGGAAACCAGCTTGAAAAGAGCAATGGAAAAGGCAGTTTGACACTTCCTGTTCTCACTAGGATGGGGTGGTACGTCTCTAGGGCCAGTCTGGGGTAAGAGGAGAGTGGGCCATGTCTCTCCAGACTCCTCAAATTGTACCTGGACTTAATTTCTTCTGAGCTAATTTTTTCCTTCCCCACACCCTTATCATGGTAGCCACTGGAGAACTACAGACCTAGGACACAGGAGAATTTACCACTTGTCACCCCCTCCGCCTGGTCCACATCCTATCTGTGAGGCTCAAGAAGGCGCAACCCTAGAGTCCCACCTCTCCCCAGCATGGATCAAATAGGAGACTTCTAACCTTCTAACCCAAGTTCACTCTCTGATTAAGTAACTCTTCACCCATATTTACCAGACATTCACTGAACACCTTCCGTGAAGGAGAGAAATCTGGTTAGTCCAGTACAGGGATTTTATAACCTATCTCTGGTTGAGATTCAGTTCTGTAACTTACGGGCAACCTAGGCCAAGTTACTGGTTCTCTTTGAACCTCAGTTTCACCATCTGCAAAACAGGGGTAGCACAACTAGCTATGCCACAGGCTTGTTGTGAGGGCTGAATTTAAAAACGGGTACAAAAGGCTTCGCCCAGAGTCTGGCCCACAGCAGGGGCTCCGTCGCTGGGAGCCATGGTTTCTACCAGGCTTGCACAGGTGCTGAGGAGATGGACATTGACCCAGCCCAAACCCCGCAGGAGCTCACAGAACGTTCCTCCCTCCCACCAGGCTGCTCGCCCGGCCCCGCCCCTACCACCGCGGATCCTCAGGCTCTCCTGGTACTGGATGATGAAGTACTCCTGGGTCTGCTGCAACTTCTTCAGCTCATTCTCCGTGTCCTGCGTGACCAGCCGCAGCTCCTCGAACGTCTGGTTGATCTGAAGGTGCTTCTGGGACATGGCGTCGGCCAGGCTTCCGGCGGGAGAGCTGCCCTGGGGACAGATGGGGAGGAAATCACAAGGGGCCGAAGGAGTGGGAGGGCACCGCAGGCCTTGGGGAACACCAGTACTGGGACCCAAACTCCAACTCTAGCGTAAGAAGGGAGTCAGAAAGATTCACCAGAACTGGGGTGGAGAGGGGAAAGGGAGGGGAAGCGGCCAGCTGGCAGATTGATGGCATCTTCACTGTACACATTTCTACTTTAGGTCTGGCCTCACTAGAGTATCTATTCCAAATAGGGTCTTTTTTTTTTTTTTTTTGAGTTGGAGTCTCATTGTCGTCCAGGTTGGAGTGCAGTGGCAGGCTCACAGTCACCGAAGCCTCGGCCTGCTGGGCTTAGGCGATCCTTTCACCTCGGCCTTCCAAGTAGCTGAAATTACAGCTGTGTGCCACCATACCTGGCTAATTTTTTAATTTATTGTAGAAATGAGGGCTTGTCAAGTTGCCCGGGCTGGTCTCAAACTCCTGAGCTCAAGCAATCCTTTCGCCTCAGCCTCCTAAAGGGCTGAGATTATAGGCATGAGCCACCGTGCCCGGAACTAGGTTCAATTTTTTTTTTGAGTTGGAGTCTCACTCTTTTGCCCAGGCTGGAGTACAGTGGCACATTCAGGGTCACTGCAGCCTCGACCTGCTGGGCTCAAGTGACCCTTCTAACTCAGCCTTCCAAGTAGCTGGAACCACAGGCGTGTGCCACCACGCCAAGCTAATTTTTGGATTTATTGTAGAGATGAGGTCTCACCAAGTTGCCCAGGCTGGCCTT